CCGGGCCGGGGACCCCGGGGCGCGGGGCGGGACGAGCGCGCCAGGATCCGGGTTCTGTGTGTCCTTCACGTGGTCGCCTGGTTTCCCCGCGACGGACCTGCCGAGCGAGAAGGCCCGATTCTTGTGTCTGGTGTCATCCCCGTTTTGCGGATGAAAAGACTGAAATGAGGAAGTCTCGTCTGGATGAGCCTGCTGGTCCTAGACCGCTAATTTATGGCCCTTTGGCCGGGCCGAGTAGGCCTTAGCGCTCTCGAGCGGATGGCGCTCTGCCACCCAGGACTTCTCACAGGGAGAATTCACCTCATCTCGCTCGGGTGACTCTTAATGATAGCGCAGGACTTTGGGTCTAGTGCTTTACAAAGTCAGCCCAAGTAACCTTGCCAGTGGCTACGTGGGTGTTAGCCCTACGTTAAAGACGAGCTGAGACCAAATGAGTAACGTTAGGGGGAATTTTAATCTGGTTTTAGAGGATCTTCACGGTAGATCCTTTTAACCTTTTTGCTCTTGTTTCAAAAATCGGGAGACTAATGGGTGGAAAGTTGAACGGGAGGAATTCTTTGTTATACACAGTATTTCTCAGCATCTGTTTGCCTGGTAAAAAGAAGGAACAAGCCCCAGGCTTTTGCTAGAGTATCTGAAGTTTAAAATTTTATGGTCTTACAAATAGGAATTGGTAGATCTTAAAATAAAAGATTATTAAAAAGGGTCAGACATTTGGGAGCGTGAATCTTTACAGTTGATATTAAAGGTGCCTTTTAAGGGGCTTAGGTTTTTGAAGATTTTTTTTTAAATTAAAATGTATGTTTTGTAAATCACACAGAGATAGCATAGGATACATTTTTATCATGCTTACCAACATGTTGTATAAAACTGTCCAAATCCACCCTGTAAAAAACAACTCCTGAAGACTGAAATTTAGCTTTTTTAATATTCAGAAAAATCAAGAGAGTAAAAAAGTGTTTTATTGCTCTCAACACTGCCTTTTCCCATAAACTACTGTCACTGAATCAGCACTTTTGCTGCTCTATTGGCAGCAAAAAAAAAAAAAAAAAAACACAAAAACAACTTTTACATGTTTATGGGCTATTTGTATATTTGCTTTGGAGAAATACCCATTCAGATTCTTTGCTTTTTCTAAAAACTCATAAGAATTCTACGTGTTCTCTAGTCTGGATTCTGAGATCTTGAAGCTCGACCATTATTGATGGGTGAACAATAAATCATAAGAAATGTTCCCTTTGCTGCTATATGTTCACAGAGAAGTGATAATTTTAAATAGCTTTATTAAGATATAATTCACGAACTGAATTTTGCCCACTTGTATGCAATTCAGTGTTTTTTTACTGTATCCGTAGAATTGTATAACTATCACTGCAGACTAATTTGTAGAGCACTTTGTCACCCCCAAAGACACTGTATTCATTAGCAGTCCTTTGAACTCTACTCCCATTCCTCAGCCCTCGGGGATGACTTTCTGTCTCTATAGATTTGTTGGTCCTGGACATTTCTTATAAATGAAATCTTAAAGTACTTCATCTTCTGTGATTTCCTCTAGTTGGTGTAATGGTTTCAAGGTTCGTCCATGTTGTAGCATAAATTAGCATTTCAGCCTTTCTCGTCTTAAATTACTAACATTGATGGCCAGGTGGCATTTTATTTCCCCAAGTATCAGTCAGTAGACTTACTGTGAACATTACCAAGTTGCTATATGATGGGTATGTATTTTCATTTCTCTTGGGTGGCTACCTCAATGGTTTTCAAGACCATCTTTAGATGCACCCAGATTCTTGTCAACCTTGTATGTGGGTTCCAATTTCTCCACGTCCTTGTTATTGCCCATTTCTTTCAGTGTAGTCATCCTAATGGTTGTGAGGTAATATCGTGGTTTGTTTGCTTTTTCCTAATGACTAATACTGGGGAACATCTTTTTCGAGTTTAGGGGCCATTTGAATATTTGCTTTGGAGAAATGTCCATTCAGCTTCTTTGCTTTTTTAAAAACGGGATGATATTAAACACTCTAAGAGTTCTTTATTCTGGATATATTACTTTTAAGACATACCATATGCAATATTTCCTTCCATCCTTGCATTGTGCACTTTCTTGGTATTGTTTGGACACAAGTGTTTGATAAGTTTTTAATAGATGTATAGCATTTATGTCAGTGACCCATTTCAAGTTAATTTTTTGTGTATAGGATAAGGGAGAGATCTACTTCATTCTTTCTGTTGTGGGTATCTGCTTCTGGCACAATTTGCTGTGTTGACTGAAACTAAAGCCTCAATAATAAAGCGTTTATTAGACACAGTGAGGATTCAAACCCAAGAAGCACTCCCATAGGTCTTACTCTTTGGGAACTTCCACCAGTCACAACTTGGGGTTTAGTTTATTTAGATAGGAGCCTGATTCATTGACCTCAAAAAATGTAATTATTCTCAACATGGGATGGGTGGGGCATCCGGTTTTCATCCATAGGCTTAGATCTTCCAGTTTCCTAATTTATCTTAAAGATTTATTCACACTATCTGTTGGCAGCAGAGGGCAAAAACTGGGACTTAATCATCTGCCTGATTTCTAAAGAATGCTCTGTGGAGACTGAAGGCTGGATGCCCATTGTTTAAATCTTATTTATCAGGCTTCTTGGTTAGTGGGTTTGAAAAGCTGGATTACCCTCAGGCAGCAGATTTTTGCATAGGCTACATCTTGGAACAAGACAGAACCTGTTCTTATTTCAGATTCTTGCCTGCTAAGGTATGTGTGTGGGTGTGTGTGAGGGGAGGGGATGATTCCACAACTTTTACAATGTGTTTACAATTCAGAAGACTGTGTTTCACCACTTAGTTATACTAGCACCTTATAGTATTGGTTTTTATATATTGTTACAGTTTTGCAGAAATTTAGTACAGAATTTTGCTTGGAACAAGTTGATTTGTCTGAGAGAACTGTACGAAAATTGCAGGATATTAGACTATCAACAAAATGTAGATTATTGCCTATTCTTTATTAGATTTATTAGTTTAGTTAGGTTTTCTATAAGGTAAAAATGCTGGAGCTTTGTCTAAACAGAAATAACATATTTTACTACAGAAGAGCTATTGCTTCTCCACCAAGAAACTGAATGGTTGTTTTTCAGTTGTTGAAGATTATTTTTTGTGGTCTGTTGCCTATATAAATTATTAACACTTGATAAAATAAACTAACATTAATAAAGAGTAGATTTTAGGGGGTAGAGAGAAAAGTAGAAAAGAAATTAGGAGAGTTACTCACCTTCAATCAACACTATCCATATTTCTGAAATAGCTTCCTGTCTTGTGTATTGAACTTGTATTGAATTCTTCATTTCACAACTAGAGAAAAGACGATACTGCTGCTCTTTTCCAATGACTTGTCCCAAGGAAAAGGTTCTTCCTTTGCAGTCCTGGGGTCAAACATGAAACTAAAGATTTCTTATTATATTTGGCTTTCAGTCTCTGGGGTGGTGGAGTAAGAGGAGACTGCATTTGCTCCTAGGGACACTCTCTTGAAATGCAGTTTTTATTACCCACTATTTTCACAATACTTGGATACATTAATTCACCATGAATCTCCATTCACTAAGAATCTCACAGATTCACACTGTATAATTCTGATAAATCAGTAATAGAAAAATGACATTGTAAACTGATAGCACCTTTTGGAAATTATCTTCATTTCCAGATGACTAGAAAAGTCTATACTGGCAAAAATTGTAGAATTCTAAATGTCTAATAATAGAGAAATGGTTAGATTATGACTGGCAACTAGAAGTAATTTAATCATTAGTAGCAAGGAAATTGTGACATCTAAGTATATAATTATATTTAAATTCTTATATACAAACATTGCATATATGTCATATATATGCATTATATTATATACTAGTATATTGCAATATATATATATGAAAAAGTATCTGTCAGACACATAGATTTAGTAGACTGATTATGACTTTGTAGCACTTAATATACAAGGAATTGTTGGAGGTGAAAGGGAATTGGATAATATCAAATCTTTAATCCTTTGTATCTTTGTGTTTGTGAGTTTTATTTTTCCTACATAAATTCTCAATTTGTTGTAACATGATATTTAGTAAATTTACTGTTAGAATATACTACTCTTTCTCTGTGATGTACAATACTTATTAAAGTCTCTACTACAGGCTATACTGACTTGGGAAATTCCAAAAAATTACTATGAATGTTTTCATTATAAATTTGGTTTAATTTATAATTGTGGAATTATGTAATTTTCTCAGTTCTTGATTTTTTGTTTGTTTTTTCTTTACAGAAAAGTATCCAGAGATAAAAACCTTGATGAAACCTGATCCCAACTTGATATGGATTATAATTATGATGGTTCTTACCCAGTTGGTTGCCTTTTATTTAGTAAAGGACTTGGACTGGAAATGGGTCATATTTTGGGCATATGCTTTTGGCAGCTGCATTAACCACTCCATGACTCTGGCTATCCATGAAGTTTCCCACAACAGTGCCTTTGGCCACTGCAGAGCTATGTGGAATCGTTGGTTTGGAATATTTGCTAATCTTCCTATTGGTGTTCCATATTCAGTTTCCTTTAAGAGATATCACATGGACCATCATCGATACCTTGGTAGTGATGGCATCGATGTGGATATTCCAACTAATTTTGAAGGCTGGTTCTTCTGTACCGCTTTCAGAAAGTTTCTGTGGGTTATTCTCCAGCCTCTCTTTTATGCTTTTCGACCTCTGTTCATCAACCCCAAGCCAATTTCTAACCTGGAAATTATCAATACAGTGATCCAGATCACTTTTGACATTATAGTTTACTATGTTTGGGGGATTAAATCCTTAGTATACATGTTATCAGCATCTTTACTTGGGCTGGGTTTGCACCCGATTTCTGGACATTTTATAGCTGAACATTACATGTTCTTAAAGGGATATGAAACTTACTCATACTATGGGCCTCTGAATTTACTTACCTTCAATGTGGGTTACCATAACGAACACCATGACTTCCCTAACATTCCTGGAAAAAGCCTTCCACTGGTAAGTAGAGCTGTAAAGCTTCTCATGGCTTATGGTTATATGATCAAATAGTCTTGACTCATTCATTTTTTAAAATATCTAGTATATTTTGTCTGTCATCAAAGAAAACCACAGAGTATAAATCCTGAGTCTGCCAGCCTAATTCTACAGAATTCACCCTCAGTCTGATGGTAACATTTAAGGTTTAGAAGTATTGGTAGAGCTGCAGAATCTGCTAACTTGTGAAGTCATTTAGAAAGGGAAAGAAATTCCTCTGTGAAGCAAGCAGAATTTTACACAGCCTTCATCACTATTAATGGCTTAGCTAAGGTTTATGTGTTGGCTTGTTGTGAATACAGATGTCCTGCATAACTCATCTGCAAAGTCAGTACACATCAGTTGCCAGGACTCCAAACTCCCCACAGCAGGAGATGTATAAACATATGTATATGGTATAAATGTGTACGGTAGACTTTTGGAGTAAATGAAAGAAGACATTTGACCTTCATCCTTTCAGCCTCTCCAAAATGAGCACTGTTCCTAACTATCTTTCTGGTGAAATCTCTAATTAAACTTCCCTTTTTCAAAATGGATTGCTTTTTGAAGTTCTAGTATCAAAAAATAGTGCCAAAATTCTAAAAATGTAATCTGTATGAAATGTAATTTTTTCCTTCTTGTTTTTTTTTTTTTAAACGAATGTATGAGAAGCCATAGCCAGGTATTTGGTGCATCTCAGTTTCTTAAGTGTTGACTGTTTAAAAACTCACATGTACCATGACAGCTCAGTATAACATTTGACTACCCACTGGCTTTCAGACTTAGGAAGGGAAATTGAGAAAGGACATTGGGTCACTGGGGAAACTGCATCTGGATATAGTACTGTGTCAATGTTTTTACTTTGGGGGTGTAATGAGACCTGTACAGGTACTAAGGTTTTACGGGAGAATGTCATTGCTCCAGGAGAGCACATTAAATATTTAGGGATGAAGCACTAAGGACAAGTTGTCACATAATTGTGTTCAGCTTACTCTGGAAAGGTTCCGTAGGTAAAGCAGGGTGTGTGCTACGCGCTGCGTAAGAAAGTGACTGGCGTAGTGCTCATGGGTGGTGGGTTGTGCAAAGGCATCCTAGAGGTCATCTCACTATTCTTGCAACTTTTCTGTAGGTTTTACATTTTTTTTAAATGTCTGGGGGAAAATACCACACTGCAGTCTGCAGATACTTTGCGACTGTTGCACCGTACGTGGTACAGTTGCCAGGCGTGGTCCTGTGCAGGGGCCTTCCCGTGGGCAGGCGGCGCTTCCCTGCTACAGAAGTGTAGTCTGCTTGTTTTTACGGTTATGGTTATGGCTTACAGAGAAAGCTGGCCTGCTTTTGAGCAACAGAAACAGTCAAACAGAAACCATATCCTTTGACTTTTAATTTTCTTGCTCAGTTCCTGTACAGAAAATGTAGTTCAGTTCAAACATTGACTTCTTCATTTCCAACTCCATTTCATGCTGTCTCCTTCTGATGAGACTAGCACACATCCTCAGTGTTATCTAGCTAGTCTCCCCTCCGCTTTTTCTGTGGTATATGTCCAGGACTGTCACATCCTTAGAAATGTCTGTTATTTATCAAATAGTTTTAAATGCGTGTTTTTCTGTTTACTTACAACCTTGTAAAGTACAAGGACACCCAGGAACTTACTGTGTCAGCATTCGGATTGAACTGGGCATATGGCTAAAAGACCTGGTTTCTTTCAAGATTATGATTACATAAACTTTTTTGTTTTTATTGTGTTTTGTAAATTATTTTTAGTCTTAAGGAGTGCCTTGCCCCACTGCTGAGTCAGGATCTAAACTGGTGCTCACTTTTTGTTGGAAAGGTAGCATTTAGCTGTTAGGATTCACTGGTTGCCATTGGCAGTGGTAAAATCAGTGGGATTAGGGACCAGGGTAATCTGCTTCACAAACAGAACTGTCATTACATTCCCCAAATTAAACTTTAATGTTCTTTTTCTTGTTGACCCTTCACCTTTTGGATTTGTTTTTTGTTTTCCTCTGGACTCTGTTAGAGTAGATATTGTATATTTTGGTGAAATGACACAACTGTTACTATTCATCACTAATTAGTCTTCCTTTTTAATTAGACTGAGAATAGGCATTTTTAAAGACATTTTCAACTTGAGATGGCAGAATTGCACACTTCATGCTTAATCTGACATGCCATAGTAAACTTGAAATTCATTAATGACGGGGGCTAATGTTAACTTTATATCTTACGGTACTAGACTTGCATATGTGCCTTAAAAATATTAATTTGATAGGGTTGCATGTATTTGCTGTTAAAATTAAGTAACAGATTTTACAAATAAATCAAGTATGTTTAACACTGGAAATGCAGGCTGCTTTTTGTTTAAAATTCCCAAAGCTGCTGAGTTTAAGTTTTGTTTCATTTTGAGAGGAAGTAAGGAGAGAGTCTCAGTGATTTCCCATCTGTTTGTGTCAAACATTTGTCATCAGTAATAGGGCTCAGTTGAGACCCCTTATTCATCTCGGTGTGTATTTGCCTTTCCAGGTGAGGAAAATAGCTGCCGAGTACTATGACAACCTGCCCCACTACAATTCCTGGATTAGAGTACTGTATGACTTTGTGATGGATGACACATTAAGTCCTTACTCGAGGATGAAGAGGCCCCCAAAGGGGAAGATGGAACTGGAGTAAATGTCATTATAACCAAAGGAATTTGTCATTATCAGACCAAGACCAAGTGATGTTTAGAAGCCACGTGGCACAGTTACTCAAAAAGTGAAGCTAACCTGGCTTGTAACAGCTTGTTTGTGCAGTGTTGAGCTTTACTGACAGGAAACTTATTGGTTGTATTGTCATTGTTGAGGATGTTTTCACTCATGTCTGACATTTTGTATGTATTTTATTAAAAAAAGCTTTTAAAAAGTGATTTATTGTATATTATTTTCACTATAAAGTTTTGCTTTATTATAATAGCTAATAAACTGAGCTATTAATCATAATCTTTTGCTGCAATCTGAATTATGCATTTTAATTTTTACTGTTGTGTGAAGGGTCTAAATTAGACAATGCTGAATCCTTGATAGCCTTATTCATAAATAAAGTACTTTTAATTTAATCATGTGCAGCACTCAACTTTCTCTTTTAGATGCATTAAATCTCAAGTTAGAAGTGCTCATCCCATATATTATTTCATTACAATGGAAGCTGGGGGTGGCCTGATGATAGTTGACACCCAAGTCACCAGAACCATGGCCTCTTGGACCGGTTGACCTGGTTACCTGAAACTTGTCACTTGAGTAAATTTTGTTATATGATGAGTGTTTTAAAAAATGTAAGTGGTATCAAAAACCATCTATAGTTTATACATGATACCAATCCTTATTAAGATGTCATAAAATTCCTGTTATGATAATCACCAGCTGTGTTACTCTTTTCATCTACTTAGGCTCAGAATGATCAGGAACCTGCTTTACAGACACTTTCATTCCCAAGGACTGCCGTCCCTCCCAGAGCCTTTTGTTTTCTCTCCCTGATCTTACCAGGGAAAATTTCTACTATCTTTAAACTGGTACAGAAGACCACAGGTTAAGGAGCCATCAATGTGAAGTTTAGAGGGATAATAGACACCAACTTTGTAACTCAAGACAGTCACTGAAAAAGCATCTGTGAGACACCTATGGATTTGATGCTTGGCAGTAAGACGGTGTCCTCTCCCAGACCCACCTCTCCTTGCTGTGGAACTCTAGTTAGTGGCTACAGCGGCCATGTAAATGCTGAAAACTTGCAACTTTCTCAGCCCATTTCTCTCTGTTGCAAACCATGGTGGAGGGTAGACGGTCTTCTCTTTCCCAGACCTGGTTACCTTATCACTGTTTGCTTGGACAGGTTTCAATCTGCAGAGCTCTTATCTAGTCTCATTTCTATCTGGCCACAGTCCATCCTTTTAGGCTCTGCAGTGATAGCCAAAGAGGGACCTCCCTGAGGTCGGTGCAGCAGAAGATTGGGCTTCAAACCCTCAAAGCACAGTGTCAGGAATTCACTGGGTTTGAGATGTCCATCTGAATGGACGCCCTTCCCCATTTCAGGTCTGGTAAACTAGTCCCTTGAGTAACACATCCACCTTCTCTGCAACCTACCCCGCTCCCAAGTGTTAAGAGTAACTTTTTTGGACTTTCCAAACCAGTGGTTACTGGTGTTGTTTTGTAAATATGCCATACAACTTAAGGGCCAAAAAAAAAAAAAAAAAAAAAGTACTGTAAACAGATCGGAAGAGCACACGCTGAACTCCAGTCACTGCTCGACATCTCGTATGCCGTCTTCTGCTTGAAAAAAAGACCTTTATTTCTCTATTCTCCAAGCCTGGCAGGCGCAATTCTTGATTTGAGGTCACTTATTAATAACCGATCTGATATCCTTAAACTTGAGCATTTTTTCATCTAACACAAAGCAACAGAGAGAGCTCTTGGATAATCTCTAGGTGGACTGAAAACAATGGACATTGAGAATCCCTTTTCACTGAGGCCTGAAACAAGTTTTTTGTTCAACAATTCTCAACACTCAGCTGAGAAAACAGGCTTAAAAAGATGTAAGTCACTGTCCCAAGGTTGCAGAAATTACAGAAATAGATCTGAAATTCAAACCCTCAGACCCAGAACGAATACTTGCCATGTTTTCCATGGAGGGGGGATGAGGAAAAATGGCACGTACCACTGCATTATCAAATGCACGTTCACTCACTGCCTTCCTTACCTCTTCTTAAGTGCCATCAAACCAGTTCTGGCTAGATCGCTGGGTTTTGGCTTTTGTTTAACAATTTTTTAAGAGTTCAGTCTTTGAACATGTTACGGAAAAGGTTTAGTCAAGAAAGCCAAAACTCGTATCACCAAACTCCTCAAATTCTGACTCTAGTTTCAGCTGGAGCAATAGCACAGGAGAAGCGAGCCTTGGTGGCTGGGCAGGGCCACCAGCCCCAACATCGCAGAGGCGGCTCTGGATGTTGACTTTGGCCAGGGCCTTTGCAAACAAGGCAGGTGAGAAAGGCTCAACATGCCACTTGCTTATGAGGGCACTGATTTTATCATCAATCTTATCTTATGTGACTGGCACATTTTTACACAAGGGGAGAAGAAGGACATGGTGCCCACAGGTGCCAGGCAGCTGCAGTGAGAGCTCCATCCCTCTGTGCCCTTACCTTACCAGGAAGGATTGAGTATCTTAGTGGCAGCTGAGACACGGACCAACTAAAAATTCTAATATAAAACAACATTTAAATACATAGCAAAAGTGTACTATTCATCCCTTGGGTGATTTGCCAGGCACTGCAGTAGGTAGTAAGGACACACAAAATGTTCAAGTTAAGGAGCGGATGCACCAGTGCTGGGGTTTGAACTTGGAATCAGAATTCAGTGATCAGGGACTCAACACCCAAAACAGGAAGGTCAGGATGTGGCTGGAACAGGTGGGAAGCAGGTGTCAGCACTGTCCCAGGCAACAGGTATGGATGGTAGCTCTCACCCATGTCAACCTGGTGAGGGAGACAGCACCCCCCACAGTCACTTGAGGAAGTGGAGGTTCGAATTGACTAGCCAGAGGGAGGGCATGTACTGTGACAGCAAAGTCAAGATCTGAATCCAGGTCTGCTGAAGCCTGCACCCTTTCTGTGCTGCATCTTGCCTAGCTGAGCTGGAAACTCTTTGGACAAGGAAATGTATTATTTCTTCTCTTGTTAGGAAAGAGTTTCCAAAGCCTGGGCCATCTGGATTGGACAAGAAGAGTCTAGGACCCTAGGTGTCAGGAGAGCCCTGAGAAAGCTGTGGCCTTGAAGACCCAGGAGCACTGAAGCCCTAAGACCCTTTATGGACACAACTCCAGACATTCCACTGTCTGAACTCCAGACGTTTCCATTCACAGGTGAATGGTGCCCCACAAGAGAGAATAGGGGATTGAGGGTAACAGAGAGTCATCTGGAAGTAGAAGCCTCAAGTCTTGGGTAGAACTCAGAATGTTCCACATGGCTATGGGGACACAGTCTGCATTGGGAAGCCAGCAAAAAGATGTGCAGACGAGCCAGGAAGGGCTCTGATTTGGGAGGAGCAGGGTTTGACAGTAAAGGAATATGCTGATCAGCATACTTTTTGGTTGGAAAATGAATGACTTAGAGGATAAAGAACAGTGGAGAACGTCTGGAAAAAGATGGCTTGGCTTTAACTAAGTTTAGTCTCAATTGACAGTTCATGAAGCTACTAACTGGACCCAACTGAAGAGAAGCCTCAGGTATTGACGATAAGTATCTCCACGATTACCATGTGTGGATGGCACCCAAGATGGAGGCTAGGGTCAGGGGCCTGGCCCTGGGGGGTTCAGTGTAACCATGGCCACATGGAGAATATGAGCAGACGACACACCTTCTTGGATCTGGGACACACGCCTAGAATTTCCTTTTGAAGACAGAACCCAAAGAAACACTAATATCTTCTTATAGAATCAAGTGGATTTTGAGTTTCCAAACTCTGGGCCCTGTGTTTTGTTATCCCCAAGGAGAGTAGAATAGATGAACTGTAAAAAGGCATGGAGGAGTGGAGTTGCCCTGAAGTTTAAATCCATATAGCAGTTGCAATGTGCTAATTCAGAAAAGCTTCTGTAATCTCCCACCCTTTGGGTCATTACCCTGGGCTGCTTGAACTAGTCCTCAGGAAGGGTCCTGTTGAGACCCAGAGTAACCCTTTATTAATCAAAATCAAAAAGGACAGTCATTTGCCCAGACAATGATTTAACTCTCAAACCTCTTTAAGTAGCTGATATTTTCCTGCCACAGGGACTGTCCTATTCCTTGACATGTGATCTCCCATTTTAGCCATAGCCACACAGACACTGGCTCTCCCTTTTGGGCTGGCTATGACTATGCCACAAAGTGTTGTTTGCTTTATTATAAGCACTTTGATGTCACCTTTCTATGAGCAAATGTCTGCTGTGGGTAAAATAGCAACAACCCACCAGCCCAGCTTTGGAGACCTGTGTGGGTCGCTTCTATCTGGCCACACAGCACACTCACCCAAGGGCCACCACAGGGACAGCTGCTTTCTCACTTGCTGCATCATCACTGCCCCTCCCATCACCCCCCACCCATCAAACACACACACACACCTGAGTGTGTGGCCTCCTCAGTCCTCTGCTTCTCGAGGGCAGGCCATCTTGACCCAGCCAGAGCAGTTTCCCTGGCCAGAGCCCAAGACATGATCCAAGAATAATCTGCTGGCTCACCCCACTGCATCCCATGTTGAGGACTTATTCAGAGTTGAAAAGAATTGCAGATTCTAGATCAAACTCAGCCACTCCTCGTTTTTCCAAAAGCAAATTTCTCATCTCTACTACTGACAATGAAATGCAAGAGAATTCACCAAAAATCAAGTCTGAATGACAAATTCAAACATTCCCGGAAGATTCCTTCTTTCCCTTCAGAGAGCCAGATTGAGTCCAAGGCCCCACCCCTGGGCCATCCACCAGCTCCCAAGGTCTGAAGTTGTTTGACTGGAGCTCATTATTTCCCTCCCAAGGGTGTGGCACAAGGACCTCTCCTGTGGCAGGGGAAGGGTTACAGAGGTATTTCCAAAGCCTCCTAGTCTTGGGAACTGAGTTGGCTGAAGTTAGCTGACCTAGAATCCCTAATTCTCTCTTCTATAGTCAGAGGATATCTCCTCTGGGTGAGATGCCCCCTAGTGCTCTCAGGCCAGGCCGCCCAAAACAACCCCCCCACCCCACCATCTGACCCCTGTGCTGTCTCCCTTCTTAAAAGGATTAGAGACAAGGGTGTCACGTATCAGGAAAACTACAGTCCATCATTATCTCCTTTTAAGCCACACAACATAAATCTTTTCCTTATTTCCTGAGGGAGGAAACTCGGAATCAACTTTAGGTAAGTTGTTTAAGTTGACCAACTTGATCTCCAGGTTGGGGCAGAACAGAACTCAGATTTCAACTAGCTTCCTCCTATACCCAAGTCTTACCACCACACTATGGCACCTCCCTTCAGTTACTTATCTCCGGAGTCTCTGCATCTGCTCTCGGATGAGATGAGGATGTTTGGGTGACATTGCTGTCCGGCTGAGAATCCTGGGTCTCTGGACACCCCACCATGAATGCCGTCACTGGAAGTAACTGTTCTGCAGAGAAGGCTGGGTGCCACCCCAGGTGTCTCCATATTCTAGGGAGACGCTAGTAACAACAATGCTGTGAGCTCAGGCTCACGGCCGCAGACCCATTACACCTGGCTGTTTGCTGAGTGAACTGACAGTAAGCAAGGGTATAGGAAGCACTTCACAGGGTTTTATGTTAAGAG